TTTGTTTTTTTTTTTTTTTACAAATAAAGTTGCATATTATGAGGATACATTCTACGAGCCATCATGCAGTTATCATGTATCATGTATGTTCGAATCGAAAACAGTGAGAACCAGGAATCGGACTCGATTCCAAAAATTTCGGAATGAACGGTCTTACTTAAAAGTGGTTTAACAGAAGGAATGAACATGAAACGTGAAAGTACAAATACTGTAGAAAACTCACTTTGCCTTTAGACTTTAAAAACTCGTTTTAACGTCAATAAGCTACGCGAATCATCTTTTCACGCAATGAGTCTCACAACTAGCAGTGGAGCTTTTATCGAGAAAATGGGTGGCTCTTAAAAGAGCCTTTGTGTGCGAGAGCTGGAGCGGAGCTCTACTTGGAGCTGGTGTATTTGGTGACAGCCTTGGTGCCTCAGACACGGCGTGCTTGGCCAGCTCTCCGGGCAGCAGCAGACGCACGGCGGTCTGGATCTCTCTCGAGCTGATGGTGGAGCGCTTGTTGTAGTGAGCGAGACGAGACGACTCACCGGCGATGCGCTCGAAGATGTCGTTGACGAAAGAGTTCATGATGCCCATCGCCTTGGGAGGAAATCCCGGTGTCAGGATGAACCTGCTTCAGCACTTTGTAGACGTAGATAGCGTAGCTCTCCTTCCTGGACCTTCTGCGCTTCTTTCCTACCTTCGCTGCAGTCTTAGTGACGGCCTTCTTTGAGCCCTTCTTGGCAGCGGACTTTGCTGGTTCAGGAATAATGATGCTATGTAACCAAACCTCACGAAATAATGGTTAAAATGAGCGAGACAGAGGCATTTATTCACTAATCTATGCTAATTATCAAAGAGATATGGACGCTTCTGATTGCATGTTTTCACAGACTAAACCCATAAACTCATATGTGATTGGACAACTTGAAGTATCACGAGCGGAAGGAGGGCCAATCACAGGCTGTGAAATGATAGCCCCGCCCACCGCTCCATGTTTGAACGACATCAGTTTAAGTTTCCTTTGTTTCAATTCCCGCTCTTTTTGTTGTTATATTCTATTCAAGAAAACAAACCAGTCTCAAATATCACACAGGATAAATATTAAACAGTGTAATATATATATATATATATATATATATAAACTTATAAACCCACTGAGCTCATTTGGCGAAAGAACAGCAATACCTAGACACTTTTTATTCTCTTCTTGTTCTGCCAATTTAACTGCTCAAACTTGCAGAACTTGAGATTGTTTTTTCTCTTAATTTTATAAACCACTTTAATTCAAAGGAAGGCTAAACAAGCAAAAGAAAATGCCATGTAAGAAAAAAAAAAGAAAAGATTACCTCATTGTGTGCGCCTCTGACAGCAATATAATAACGTTAAGCGAGCTCTAAATTTGAGAATCAATAAAAGTCAGAATGAGAAAGCTCTTTATTGCCAGGTATGTTTATACACACGATGTAGTTGTTTTGGTGACAAAAGCTTCAACAGCACGAAAGAAACGACAGCGATAAGACAGCTAATAAAAAAATAAAAAGATAGGAGCTCCATAATCAGTTATCGGCTCACTCATTCCCAGAGAAACATATAGACACCAGCATTAAGCTTCACTTTTCAAAAGGGATCAATTCACAAGCAGCGTGTTGTTCATTTTCACTTCAACATTGTCTCTTTATGCGAGAGTGTGGGTGGCTCTTAAAAGAGCCGTTGGGTTTGTTGTTTAAAGGCTTTTAACCTCCGAAACCGTACAAGGTGCGTCCCTGTCGTTTGAGCGCGTACACCACGTCCATGGCGGTGACGGTCTTTCTCTTGGCGTGCTCGGTGTAAGTCACGGCGTCGCGGATCACGTTCTCCAGGAACACCTTCAGCACCCCGCGGGTCTCCTCGTAGATCAGACCAGAGATGCGCTTGACGCCGCCGCGGCGCGCCAAACGACGGATGGCTGGTTTAGTGATGCCCTGGATGTTATCCCGCAGCACTTTACGGTGACGCTTAGCGCCTCCTTTCCCGAGTCCTTTACCGCCTTTGCCTCGTCCAGACATGCTGAAGATACTTCTCGTTTCAATCTAGCGACGAACACGAATAATAGACAAGAACGCCAGGGAGGCCGTTTACATGTGCTTACAGGACCTAACTGAAACCAGCGCGCGTCACATGGCGCACCCCTCCCCCGCTAGTTAGAGCAGGAGACAATGAGGTTTAATCCAGACCTGATCTAACGATGTCTGTCCTGTGTTTCATATTCAAATCCATGTTTTAAAACACTCGTTTGACAAAGAAGATTTATAAGATCATCTGCATCATATGTACATGTATTTGGCTCAGATCAAACCCCGCCGGCTGAGATGCTGTTGCAGTGTTTTTCTGAACTTGTGTAATCAAATCTACTTTAAATTGCAAAATTGCGGACTTTAATTGTACTTTGTGGAGGTTTTGGCTTCAGGAGATCTTTGGGCCAAACAGGCCTTGTTGCCCAAACCATGCAAACAGCAGCAGAGGAATATGTTACTGCGCCGCAAGTCTGTGAACTGCTGGAACAGCAAAGAGACTTCTACAGAACCTTGCTCGAACAACAAGAAAGACGTTTCAAACTTGTGTTCAAATCATAGTTCATTCTTCAAACAGAAATTAGCTAACAATATCCCCGACTGGTAATGATGTACCCCAGGATTATATATATCAGGAAACTTTCCTGTTATTTCTACTTTTAAGCCACCTGAAATTCAGGAAATAAGTTAAATTATTGATGAATTAAAATGATCTTCAGATGGCCATGAGGATATTTCTGTATCTCTTTGTCAAGCAGGTAAAATGTTCATTATCGCATCCACTGGTTCACATTTTTATATTTCTTTGAAAACCGGCATTGTACCAGAGGATTTAAAAATAGCTAGTTATTCCTCGGTTTAAAGCAGATGATCCGCAATTTTTTAACAACTATAGACCTATATAAATTTGTTTTCTATATCTATGTTTTTTTTTTTTTTTTTAAGTATATAATCAGAATCTTTTTCACTCAAATTCTATGCTTTACAAAAATCAATATGGATTTCGAAAAGAAGGAGAAAAAATATTCTACTTACATGGCTTTGCTTCACCTGATTGACAAGGTTATCCTTGCACTTGAAAATCAAGAATTTACTTGTAGTATTCTTTTAGACCTGTCAAAAGCTTTTGGTACAGTTAATCATTACATTTTCCATGGTTTCCATGATTTTGCATATAAATGGTTGAAGAATTGCATTTTTAATAGAAGACAGTTTGTTTGTTTTAAGGGTTGCTACGCCAGCAAAGCATGTCTACACTGTGGGGTTCCTCAGGGGTCCATACTTGGACCATTGCTATTTCTTATTTATATAAATGATTTGTCAAATGTTTCAATTTTTTTTTTTTTCTCCAGTAATGTTTGCTGATGACACAACCTTAGTTATCTCTCACTCAAATAACCATTGCTATTTCTTATTTATATAAATGATTTGTCAAATGTTTCAATTTTTTTTTTTTCTCCAGTAATGTTTGCTGATGACACAACCTTAGTTATCTCTCACTCAAATTTTAATTAATTGATTAAGAATGCAAATTATGGTCTAAATGTTTATGCTAATTGCTGTAATTTAAACAAATTAGCTTTAAATAAAAAAAATAACAAAAACGTATTATTTTTATTGTTAAAAAATTATACCCTAAGGATTTATCAAAAATGACTATTGAGTTTACTGAGGTGCCTCAAGTGTCAACAACTAAATTCGTGGGAGTTTTTCTTGATGAGACTTTGAGTTGGAGGGAACAAGTCAATTACATGAGCAGAAAAATACATAAATATACATAATAAGGACGGTTAGGCATCTTGTTACTACAGAGTGTCTTCTTACGCTTTACTATAGTTTAATGTATCCTTGTCTTTCATATTGTAATATAGTTTGGGCGAGTACTTTTCCTACTACTCTTCAAAAAATCTTTATTCTTCAGAAGCGTTTTGTTAGGATTGCATCCCGATCAAACATATATACTTCATCTGCTTCTTTATTATATTAAACTTCAGGTTCTTACTATCTATGATATTAATAATTTTCAAATATGTGTATTTATGTATAATATATATATTCAGGTGAGGGTAACATTCCAGAGCAGTTTAGAATGTATTTTAAAGTAAATTCACAGGTTCACTGTTATTTAATTCATCAATTTTCAAGTTTTCATCTTCCTAAAGTTCTCACTTGTAGAGGTCAATACTTGATAAGAGTTAATGGTATTAAATTATGGAATGTTTTTTTTATGTATAATATATATATTCAGGTGAGGGTAACATTCCAGAGCAGTTTAAAATGTATTTTAAAGTAAATTCACAGGTTCACTGTTATTTAATTAATCAATTTTCAAGTTTTCATCTTCCTAAAGTTCTCACTTGTAGAGGTCAATACTTGATAAGAGTTAATGGTATTAAATTATGGAATGTTTTTTCCTATCTAGCAAAAAAATAAAAGTTCCTCTTTAACATGTTATAAAAGACGTATAAAAGACAATTTTAATGCAAAAATGTTTATGTATTTTATGTACCATATATGGTTTGTTTTTGGAGTATATCATTTCTAGGTTTGTTGGCATATGTTGTAATTAATTTGTAGTTATTTATATTTCTATATTTGTTACTATAATTTACCTCTTTTTCACGAGTGGTTTCTGTTTTTGTTTTCTACATCGTTTTGTTGGAGGCTCTAAATAAGGCCTTTGGTTTTTCTGCCTCTTCCTGTACAGTATAAGGATTGTACTTTGTGTGTTTATTGTACTTATGTGGTTCTCAATTCCCCCATAAATAAACACCTATTATAACGAAATTATCTCTACTTATATACATTAAACATTACAAGAGACATGCGGTGGTTTAAAAGTTAGCTTATAATAAATTATTAACTTTATATGTATCTGCACATGACTGTATTATATACACATGCATACAAGCATGGTATTTATACCATATTACATATATAGGTTTTATTTACTCGAACTATTTAATTTCTAAGCGATTAAGTTACACATCGGTTATGTTTTGCCTACGCGTGTCGGTGTATTATGAGAAACGAAAATTGTTTAATCTCATAAAATCTGTAACGTTACCCAGGCAGAATTCCTTCAAGAGACATAGACGATGTTACCGTCTACTCGTTATATTGAGCGTTACATTGGAAACTCTCATTCAGTGTGATTGTGGCGGCTCTTAAAAGAGCCTTTGGGGTGTAATGCGGCTGAGGCAGCAGCGGGTTTAAGCGCGCTCTCCGCGGATGCGGCGGGCCAGCTGGATGTCTTTGGGCATGATGGTGAATCTCTTGGCGTGGATAGCGCACAGGTTGGTGTCCTCAAACAGACCGACCAAATAAGCCTCGCTAGCCTCCTGCAGCGCCATGACGGCGGAGCTCTGGAAACGCAGATCCGTCTTGAAATCCTGAGCGATTTCTCTCACCAGACGCTGGAAAGGCAGTTTACGGATCAGCAGCTCGGTGGACTTCTGATAGCGGCGAATCTCGCGGAGAGCTACGGTCCCGGGCCTGTAACGATGGGGCTTCTTGACACCGCCGGTGGCTGGGGCGCTCTTCCGGGCGGCTTTAGTAGCCAGCTGTTTCCTCGGGGCTTTACCTCCGGTGGATTTACGAGCCGTCTGCTTGGTTCGTGCCATTGCTCAGATGTATTTCTGTCTCTGCTCTGCGTAAGTAGAAAATGCTGCTCTATGTTATGCGTCTGCTTTTAAAGCCTCATACAGCCACCGCTTATGGCGTCATAAAGGTGCAGAGGCTTGTGATTGGTTGATGTGTGACGTTTGCGCTTGACTGCTAGCCAATGACTGCGCATCTCCTGTTTTCAAACGGAGCTGGTTGTGTTTCCCGCTCAAATTGCTTCGTTCTTGTTTAGTACTTCAAGCATCACCACAAATACACTTCACGCTAGCACACCAATTTAGGCACGTTATTTTAGCTCTAAACTATTCATTAATCCGATATCATCAAAATTACCTTACCACCTGTATAAAATATAAAATTAACTAAAGACACCATCCAAAGAACATATTTTGTTAATGTGATGTGATCACTCATTCATAAGCTCCGCCACAGCTCGCCTCGCGGCTGTTATTGCGGTTACAAATGTCCATTTATTCTTTATGTACATTTCATTTTGAATTATATATTTTTTTTTAAACGGCCTTGCGGTATGTACGGTACGCTGACGAAATTAAGTTAAAGAAAAGAGCTCTGTGAGAGATAAAATGGGTGGCTCTAAAAAGAGCCTTTGGGTTTCAGAAACAGACTTGAATCGGTTTATTTGGCTTTGGCGGGTTTCTCGCTTTTCTTGGGCAGCAGCACGGCCTGGATGTTGGGCAGCACGCCGCCCTGAGCGATGGTCACTCGGCCCAGGAGTTTGTTCAGCTCCTCATCATTGCGCACCGCCAGCTGCAGGTGACGGGGAATGATGCGGGTCTTCTTGTTGTCTCTGGCGGCGTTTCCAGCCAACTCCAGGATCTCAGCGGTAAGATACTCGAGCACAGCCGCCAAATAAACGGGAGCTCCGGCACCGACGCGCTGTGCGTAGTTACCTTTGCGGAGAAGCCTGTGAACACGACCGACGGGGAACTGCAGCCCTGCTCTGGAGGAGCGAGTCTTAGCCTTAGCGCGGGCCTTTCCGTATTTGATCTCAGTATTCCTATCAGTGTTGTATAAGGGTTTTTTATGCATAATAGTAACCCTAGAATGTGATCAAACAGTTTAAAATAGCTGGGCTAAGATATATAACAATTTTTAA